TTTTCACCATGCACAAGCCAAATAACTACCTGTTTACTTCGAAATGGAATCTAAAAGCATCATGGCTGAGTTTAAACACTCTGGACTTTACCTGATAGATATTATTTCTAAACCTTCGAAGCTGGGAATCTTTTCATTTGTGTACACAAGGACCATCTGCAGGACAGAGCAAAGAAGAATAATCACATGGGTGAGTTTCTACCGTAACTGACATACCGTTATCTCAGCCATTGACATTAACACTGGAGTTCAGAAATGGATCAAACGTACAGATAAAGCTGGACACATATAGTTCAAAGGTGTATTATAAAACTATTTGAAAGCTATGGAGCAGCTGTACACCCCAGAACTTCCTCTAACATCCCAATTCAAAGAGGACTCAACGTGAACTTCAAATTTAGCCAATTTGGAAAATAAATCAGCTATGCTACCAGTCTGGATGGTTTGGTCTGTAATTTGAAATTTACTTGGAATTTCCACAAATTCTCAATTTAATGAATAGCCCTGAATAGGTCCTTCTCTGTACCATAAGTGGTTGGTCAATGGCCGGAACTGGTCCAACTGGATCATTTGTAAAATATATATTATTGTATACTGGTGATTTACAAACTATTTTTTAAGGATTAAAACCAAAGAAAAAAGTTACCTGTGTTTTTATTGTATGTACTGGGGCTGGTGTGTACTATGGTCGTTGCTGCTGCCCAGGAGTAGTGGGAGTCTCGCGCATGACTTATATTTGTGTATTTAGTTTTTTTAAGGACTACCTTCACAGTGTTATTGACATTCTCATTTCAGAACTAGAGAATCCCCCTATTTTATAATGCTGACAGCTATTGCAGACTGGTAGGAAACTCCTTGTTTTACACACTTGAGTGTGTTTTATTGGTGATTTATTTCTTAACTATCGCACAATCAGATAATATAGGAATATTAATGAGACTATTAATAACCTCGATCTCAAAACACGTACCTGCTGCTTAAACCTTCTTTCAAATTTCACATATGTTTCTGATGATTTGTCCCCCAAGTCCTGGCTGAATTTCTCATTCCACACTTTTACCGTGATATTTACTGCAGTTCTGAGTTTATCTGTAATTTCATAAACAGTAAAGATCCATCACACTTTTCACTTTAATATGTCAATTCATAGATATCTGCACTAGGATATCTGCACTAGGATAAAACACTGATATGTGAGAGTCTATAATTGCTTTAGCCAGCAATAATCAATAAAAGCACACATTGCACTCCGTAATCATTAACTCTGTATTGGTGCAGAACTGCATTCTGTTTCATATTATAACCATGATTTATTATTTTTGGCTAAGCTTTTCAAAATATAAAAAATATAAAAAGAAATATTTCAGACATAAAAATATCGATATATATATAAAGGGAAAAAAATTAGATATTTATTAATACAATGTGAAATAAGATGTGTCAAAATTTCATCTCAAATTACTATTACTACCATTTAATAACCTAAATATTTTAAAACTCTTATTCTCAGCCTGTGCTAAGAGCTCAAAGTCTAAATCTACAGAGTAAAAGTGCAATATGGTTTTAGTGCAATATGAAACCTGAAGGTGTGGTGGATGCATGGGATGACCTCCGAACAGATGAAGCCAAAATTGTTATTAATTTAAACATACATAAGGAATACATATGACACTTCTGTACTTTAAAAGAAAGTTCAAAACATAAAAAATGGGCAGTGTGGATGAACGAGGTACATTTTATGTGTCATCGAATTGTTGCTATGATTTCATGTATGCTGTAGATTTGAATGTTTTTTTGTTTGTTTGTGTGTTTTAGTTGTGCTGAGTGGACGAAAAACACTACTTAAATGGAATGTTTCAAACTACTCCAGGAATTAATCTGAAATTAGCTGCACACATAACATCAAACTTACAGAGAAACACCCCACCCCCCAACATTGGAAGGCATGCACTCAGGAGGAGGACAATCTTAAAGGTGCATGCCATATAAGCCACTTGTTTCACTGGTGACACACCAAAGGAGCATGTCAGTTTTATGTGAATACATGCCAGGCTGACTGACAGCCTTCTAACTGGATTCACTCAGTGTGCAACATGCAGAGAGCTGTACTCACACCACAATGCACGCTTATCTAATAACACAGACATTGGAAGTGCTTCCTAGGACAGTGCTGCACAGTATCGCTGATATTCAGTGTCTTTACCCTCTGTATGGAGACACTGAACTTTCCACTTAGATGTGCATTAATTCAATGCATCTCTATAAGGAGATGCTGATTGGCCATAGCATATTTTGGCTCTGCCTCCTACCCCACCTCTTTGGCTGAGATTATCAGAATTGACAAGTTCAACCAATCAAATGCTTTCCTATGGGAAAGCACTGTGGTTGGCTCAGTTCATCCCTTCTGATGATGTCAGACAAGGAGACAAATCAGAATAAAGACTGGAATAAAGGTAACATTTTACAATTGTTAAGGAGGCAAGGCAGGGGGGCATGGGAGCTAGATAGTGATTTTAACACTGTAGGGTCATTAATATATGTTTGTGTTACTGACCCTATAGTTTTCCATTAACAAATAAATATATAATAAGTATTTTGCTCTTTCTCAAATAATTGCAATATGCCGTTCTGTGAAGATAGGCACATCAAGCCCTTCTATTATATTGTTGTTATCACTATTATGGTATTCTCCAAAATATTTGTATTTTCTTTTTCTATTCTACATATGAGTAAAGAGAAAACACGTGAAAATAGCAGGTAGTAAAACTGGTGTAAATCATAAAGATATGCTTATCAGTGTCAGTTCAACAGAAACATAGAAACATAGAATGTGACGGCAGATAAGAACCATTCGGCCCAGCTAGTCTGCCCAATTTTCTAAATACTTTCATTAGTCCCTAGTCTTATCTTATAGTTAGGATAGCCTTATGCCTATCCCACGCATGCTTAAACTCCTTTACTGTGTTAACCTCTACCACTTCAGCTGGAAGGCTATTCCATGCATCCACTACCCTCTTCGTAAAGTAATACTTTCTGATATTATTTTTAAACCTTTGTCCCTCTAATTTAACACTATGTCCTCTTGTTGTGGTAGTTTTTCTTCTTTTAAATATAGTCTCCTCCTTTATCATATCATTTAAATATATAAAGGGAATCAACACAGTAAAGGTTGCAGTTTGTTCTCATTGCTCAAGGCTGATATCTCGTCAATTATATAAAAATGCTTTACATTAAAGGTCGTGGTAATTAAGTTAACTCCAATAGCAAAAATAACCCTATGTGACCCAACAATTAGTTCTATTAAAATCTGATGTATTCATGTGAAGATACCATTAATTCTAACTGTAATATCTGTCCAGTCTAACTACTTGCTTACCTGGTCGGATCTCATTCACAATGAATTCACAACGACTTCCATAGAAGTTTTCTCCACAGATACATATGATGCCATCATAGTAACCATTGTTGTTACATTGAGCATCTATTTCAGGATAAAATAATACCATAAATAATATTTAAAAACAAGAATTCACAACCTCAAAGAAATGTGTAAAGTATTTTGCTACCATTGTGTATGCAATGGGATTTTAATGCTCTGGTATGGCTTAAACCTTACTAAGGAGAGTAAACTGCATATACAGATGAATTCACAAGCACCTGATGTGGCGTCACAGAAGACATATTCCAGAAGGAGCGTTACTAATATGAATATGTCAGCTACTACGTCAGAAACAAACCCATCTACCAATTTAAAAACTCCCATAGAAAAGCAGAGAAATTGCAACTTTTATTTTGGGGTGTAAATCCTATGACTATCTGTTTCCCTTAGATTGATCCTAATGCTGCCAGTATTATTAAGTAAAGTGAGGATAGAAAGTGAGTTTCAAATTTAAAGTCGAAATAGTGAATTGAGTCAGCTAGGTATCCAGTTAAGCTATTTTAGTTTAAAATTTGAATTTGACTATAAATTAACTTTGAATTCCAAATAGTTCTCACATTAGTGAATAATTCTTATTGTTCACTAGTTATGTTGACTTGACAGTGTGCGACGTGACTATTCCTGCCAAGAATTCTTGTAATAGCTAAAAAAAATAATAATAATAGATAACATATTTTTACAAATGTAATACATTTTAGATGGTACACTGTTTTGTTCAACTTTCAAGAGAGAACAAGACACAGAGGGAATTATTCACCATAATAAGAAATGTAGAGGACTGACAAAGAATTTTTATGTTTTAGAAACAATTTTGGCCTTGAATTTCAGATTAATAATTTTTTAATTAATTAGAGTTTCTAGTGTGTTATATTTTGAGTATAAATACTCCAATTAAAATAGATATTTTACCAACTAGGTTATTCACTAAAGTGAGAATTAAAAATTAATTTTAAACTTAATGGAAAAAAAAATAAATGAAAAAATTGCCAGCTATGCTTGCAGTTCAAATTATCTGGCCTTGAATTTGAAATTCAAGTAAATAACACGGTCATGTGCGGGTGTATATACCTATTCCAATTATGTATGCCCTAATTATGAACTAAAAAAAAAAAATTAGAAATGTTGAGAGTTAAAAGTCTGGGAATTTAAAACCTTAGAACAAAATAAACATTTTCGAAAAAAGTCTTCAACAAAGCACGGCAATTTTATTATAAAATTTGAAATTTTATACCAGTTTGATGAACTAAATGTGGAAAAAAACTTTCTAGTGAGCTTTATTTTCCTCTCTAAATTTTAATAAATGTATCTACAATGCAATATACTCACATATAGTCTCACTTATAAAAAAATAAACACTATATACAAACTATTCCTGTAAGAAAATTGTTAAATGAGCAGCACAGTAGAACAAGAAACATGAAAAAACTTACCTGGATCAAAAGTACTTATGGTGCTTTTGGAAGGAAGAGCACTCAAAGACGTTGACAGTTTAGATGTAGCATTTAAAGATGAAACATCTGTTCTTGATTCAGTTTCAATGGGCAATGCATCTGTGGTAGATTCAGAAGGACCAGAAAAGCCAAATGGTGTTGTTCCAGATGAGGTTGATGAGGTTGTCTGGATAACATAATCCATCTGGCACAGATTGATTGTAAATGGGTGAGATGGATTGGCTTCTGTACTCAATGGGCAATGCATCTGTGGTAGATTCAGAAGGACCAGAAAAGCCAAATGGTGTTGTTTCAGATGAGGTTGATGAGCTGTCTGTACCTAATCCATCTGAACTTGATGGGGTGAGTGTGGTTGACTGTGATGCACTGGAAAATGAACCAGTTGTTGATTCAATTGCATTAGATGGTTTATTGGTGTTTGAATCAGATGGGCTAAAGGATGAATCAGCGATTGTTTCTGGTGTATTGGCTAGTGTGGTTATGGTTGAATCAGAAACAGTGTATGATGCATCTGAGGTAGATTTAGATAAAGTGAAAGTTGTTGATTCAATAGTACTTGATCGGGTTTCTGTGGTTGACTCAGATGGACTCAATAGAGCATTAGTTGTTAATTCAGATAGATCAGACAAATTCTCTGTTGTTGATTCTAATGAAGTTGACATTGAGTAGGTGGTTGATTGGATTGTAGAAGATGACGCATCTGTGCTTGATTCAGATGAACTTGAAAGTGAGATTGTGCTTGATTCAGGTAAATTTGATGGTGTGTTAGATTGAGATTCACTTGTTGACATGTCTATGGTTGAGTCAGATGGACTGGAATGTAAGTATGTGGTTGATATACTTACAGTAGATGATATATCCATACTTGATTCAGAGGTGCTCGGCCAGTTCTCTGTGGTAGGTTCAAATGAGGTTGAAGTTGCAAGTGGGTATGACTCAGATGGACTTGTTAATGCATCTGTGCTTGATTCTGGTGTAGACTGAGGTGGCAATGAGAGTGAATCTGTGGTTATGTCAGATGGCATAGACAGTGCAATTGTTGTTGATTGAAATGGACTAGACAATTTATCTGTGTTGGATTCAGATGGATTGAACGCTGAATCTGTAGTTGATTCAGGTATATTTGATTGTGTGGTGATGGTTGGTTTAGATTCAATGGGCAATGCATCTGTGGTAGATTCAGAAGGACCAGAAAAGCCAAATGGTGTTGTTTCAGATGAGGTTGATGAGCTGTCTGTACCTAATCCATCTGAACTTGATGGGGTGAGTGTGGTTGACTGTGATGCACTGGAAAATGAACCAGTTGTTGATTCAATTGCATTAGATGGTTTATTGGTGTTTGAATCAGATGGGCTAAAGGATGAATCAGCGATTGTTTCTGGTGTATTGGCTAGTGTGGTTATGGTTGAATCAGAAACAGTGTATGATGCATCTGAGGTAGATTTAGATAAAGTGAAAGTTGTTGATTCAATAGTACTTGATCGGGTTTCTGTGGTTGACTCAGATGGACTCAATAGAGCATTAGTTGTTAATTCAGATAGATCAGACAAATTCTCTGTTGTTGATTCTAATGAACTTGACATTGAGTAGGTGGTTGATTGGATTGTAGAAGATGGCACATCTGTGCTTGATTCAGGTGAACTTGAAAGTGAGATTGTGCTTGATTCAGGGAGATTTGATGGTGTGTTAGATTGAGATTCACTTGTTGACATGTCTATGGTTGAGTCAGATGGACTGGAATGTAAGTATGTGGTTGATACACTTACAGTAGATGATATATCCATACTTGATTCAGAGGTGCTGGGCCAGTTCTCTGTGGTAGATTCAAATGAGGTTGAAGTTGAGAGTGGGTATGACTCAGATGGACTTGTTAAGTCATCTGTGCTTAATTCTGGTGTATATTGAGGTGGTAATGAGAGTGAATCTGTGGTTATGTCAGATGGCATAGACAGTGCAATTGTTGTTGATTGAAATGGACTAGACAATTTATCTGTGTTGGATTCAGATGGATTGAACGCTGAATCTGTAGTTGATTCAGGTATATTTGATTGTGTGGTGATGGTTGGTTTAGATTCAATGGGCAATGCATCTGTGGTAGATTCAGAAGGACCAGAAAAGCCAAATGGTGTTGTTTCAGATGAGGTTGATGAGCTGTCTGTACCTAATCCATCTGAACTTGATGGGGTGAGTGTGGTTGACTGTGATGCACTGGAAAATGAACCAGTTGTTGATTCAATTGCATTAGATGGTTTATTGGTGTTTGAATCAGATGGGCTAAAGGATGAATCAGCGATTGTTTCTGGTGTATTGGCTAGTGTGGTTATGGTTGAATCAGAAACAGTGTATGATGCATCTGAGGTAGATTTAGATAAAGTGAAAGTTGTTGATTCAATAGTACTTGATCGGGTTTCTGTGGTTGACTCAGATGGACTCAATAGAGCATTAGTTGTTAATTCAGATAGATCAGACAAATTCTCTGTTGTTGATTCTAATGCACTTGACATTGAGTAGGTGGTTGATTGGATTGTAGAAGATGACGCATCTGTTCTTAATTCAGGTGAACTTGAAAGTGAGATCGTGCTTGATTCAGGTAAATTTGATGGTGTGTTAGATTGAGATTCACTTGTTGATATATTTACGGTTGAGTCAGATGGACTGGAATTTAAGTATGTGGTCGATATACTTATAGTAGATGATATATCCATACTTGATTCAGAGGTGCTCGGCCAGTTCTCTGTGGTAGGTTCAAATGAGGTTGAAGTTGCAAGTGGGTATGACTCAGATGGACTTGTTAATGCATCTGTGCTTGATTCTGGTGTAGACTGAGGTGGCAATGAGAGTGAATCTGTGGTTATGTCAGATGGCATAGACAGTGCAATTGTTGTTGATTGAAATGGACTAGACAATTTATCTGTGTTGGATTCAGATAGATTTAACACTGAATCTGTAGTTGATTCAGGTATATTTGATTGTGTGGTGATGGTTGGTTGAGATTCAATGGGCAAAGCATCTGTGGTAGATTCAGAAGGACCAGAAAAGTCAAATGGTGTTGTTCCAGATGATGTTGATGAGGTGTCTGTACCTAATCCATCTGGACTTGATGGGGTATAAGCTATTGACTCAGATTCAGCAGATGATGTCTTGGTGGTTGATTCAAATGGCGATGACATTTCTAGAGTTGCAGATATATAAGAATTTGATAGGGTGAGTGTGGTTGACTCTGATGCACTGGAAAATGAACCAGTTGTTGATTCAATTGGACTAGCTGGTTTATTGGTGTTTGAATCAGATGGGCTAAAGGATGAATCAGCGATTGTTTCTGGTGTATTGGCTAGTGTGGTTATGGTTGAATCAGAAACAGTGTATGATGCATCTGAGTTAGATTCAGATAAAGTTGAAGTTGTTGATTCAATAGTACTTGATCGGGTTTCTGTGGTTGACTCAGATGGACTCAATAGAGCATTAGTTGTTAATTCAGATAGATCAGACAAATTCTCTGTTGTCAATATATTAAAACTTGATGAGGTGAGTGTGGTTGACTCTGATGCACTGAAAAATGAACCAGTTGTTGATTCAAATGGACCAGATGGTTTATTGGTGTTTGAATCAGATGGGCTAAAGGATGAATCAGTGATTATTTCTTGTGTTTTAGCAAGTGTTGTTATGGTTAAATCATCAAAAACAGTGTATGATGCATCTGTGGTAGATTCAGATAAAGATGAAGTTGTTGATTCAATAGTACTTGATCGGGTTTCTGTGGTTGATTCAAATGGACTGATATTTGGGTTAGTGGTAGGTTGATGTGAACTGAAGAGTGAGTCTGTGGCTATTTTTGAATCAGTGGACGATTTATGTGTTGTTGTGTGACTTGATTGTGCTGTAGTTGTTGTTCCTGTTGAGTTTAATTTCATATCAGATATTTAATATTTATAATAAAGTTTTTCCGTACTAATAACATTTTATTTTTTGTATCATACACACCATCCATTCCATCTGCTACTCCCATTTCTTAATTTCATACCTCTACTTTTACTATTTTACAATTCCCTCTCCCCGTTTTACCCCCTACTAATTCATTCCCTATTTTCTGCTTACCTTTTGAATTCTGTTCCTCTTCTATGCCTCTACTAATCATATCCCTCTTCTTTCACCCTTTCCCAAATACATTGCTTCCCTATGCATTCACCACAATTCCAATCCTCTCCTACGCCCACTTCCCAATTTAATTTCTCTTCTTTGCCCACCTACCATATTATCCTGACATGCAAGGATTAATTGTCCTTTTCTGCAAGAGTTAATTGGGTGTTTTCCTCAGGAAATATTTGAAATCAATTAGATTTCCTATTTAAATCTCATGAATCAGGTCCCGGTTGCTCAATAATTGTCTAGGCTACTACACACACTCTCTCCTTAACTTCTACAATTGATATGCTCGGACACATGTACAGACCCTGCATTATCACACCGACTACCTTTTAACCTTTAATTTCTATAAAATACTTATTTACTGTTACAAACCTCAGACTTGGATATCGGACTCCTCCTGTTCTTTATGTTATTTCCCTGAATGATTAATGGTTGCAAATCTTGCAAACCTCGTAATTCCCTTGTTCCTTTAGTATTTAATACCAGGCTACACAAGGCTTAGCAACCCTTCTTCTGGACTTTGCCCTTTCTCAGAACTTATAGAACAGTCTTATTAACTATTGCTACAGTTTAATTTCCTTGGAAACAGGTACATCTTACACTGTAATATTTGTTTTCATATTTAATATGCACACATGCTTTGATATGTTACACAACTTCTAACGTACATTTCAACAAGTATCAATTGCTCCTAACATTATTGTATACTATTTTGGCATCATTTATACTAAATAGCTCATAAACATATGATGTCACCTCCCATTTCCATCCAAGAATATATGGTAATATTTTGCTAGAAACGTGAGTAGATTAAATGTATACCCTTACTTGTAACTGGCCATGTAATCTAGGTATTTTAAATGACAAGTGCACGTAGAGAGTTATCTTCTGTCTATGTAATTTTTGCACTCCCATTATTTAGAATACTAGTATTTTTGACACCTTGCCACCTTAGCTAGCAGTGAACCTTCTAAAATCAGTAGGTATATTTGGCTAATAACACAAATGATGGAAGGAACTGTAGTTTTGATACTTACGTGTGGTAGGTCTTGCTGCAGAATCCTCACAATAAGTCCCAAAGAAATTGTCAGGACAAATACACTTTACTCCATCAAATGTACCTCCATTCTGACATTGAGCTAGAAGTGAAATAACTAATATATTTATTTTTGTAAAAAAAAAAAAAGGTTACATTGTTATTAAATTGACCCTGTTTAAATAATGTATTCTTGTTAATCATAAATCTTCTAAAATCAGTATTTTGTAGAAATTTGAATATAAAATGGTTCACATTCATGGGTTTCAACTAACGATGGGGATAGTGATCCCTGGTGAACAGTGTATAAACTGCAATTCCTTTTACCAAATGGATTACATTATTGATACAAATTATATATGGTTCTAAATAGAACATAATTTTCTCTTATGGTTTACTATCTCTTTTACTATTTCTTACATTTCTCTTTTAATGTGTGGGAGGATCATGGGTGATTTTTGTTAGGTTTTTGATCAAAAGTGAATTTCTAATTACAGTTACACCACATTTTCCACAGTATTATCTCAGAGGGCTAAACCCCATGGTTCTGTGGTGGACCATCTCAAACAGATTGGTTCCACACTTCTTTTAAGGGTATAGTGTTTTTCTAAAATCAGAAGGTCAGTATAAACGGCAATCTAATTTGGCTAATAACACAACTGATGGAAGGAACTGTAGTTTTGATACTTACGTGTGGTAGGTCTTGCTGCAGAATCCTCACAATAAGTCCCAAAGAAATTGTCAGGACAAGTACACTTTACTCCATCAAATGTACCTCCATTCTGACATTGAGCTAGAAGGGAAATAATTAATATATTTATTTTTGTAAAAAAAAAAAAAAAAAGTAAAATTGTTAAAAAGTAACACCAGTTAAATCATGTTTTCTAATTAATTATAAATCTAAAATAAGTAGGATGTAGAAATTTGAGTCTAAAATAGCTCACAAGACATAAGGAATTTTGTAAAAGAAAATTAGAGGTGGACACCTGCTGTTAGACAAGTCAAAATCATGTATATTAACCCTTAACTTTGCATCCCAATGTATGTAAATGCCTCTTGTATAATTAAATGTAATACAATACGCTTGCCCTTAACATGCCCATGATTCCAAGGCCTATCTATCCAGCACATAAGCATGTTTCTCCAAGGCTCCATTCAGCAACTCTATATCTCTGTAGATAGATTGGAAATGACCCTTCTTTGCACAGGAGTAATTATAGGTCTATTTACAGTGTCTGTATACTAACACCCGTAGTAGAGGAGAAAACTTAGCATAATGAGTATATTACAGGCTGCAATTGATGTCAATGTTGCCTTGTTTAGTATTGCTGTTTTAGCCATGCAAATACATTTAATTTATATGGACATTATGCTCACATATACAAATATTTTTTCCACTCTGGTGGAAAACTCTCAACAACTCTACTCTTGTCCTGTCCACTGCTCTTATCCATACTGCTAACTCATAAACTCTTTTGGCCTATTCTTATGGAACAGTCTTCCTCCTCATCAGACTTTCTCCTAGTCCACACTCCACTCTCACTTTCCAACTCTGTTGCTTTCCCATTCTCATTTTGTTGTTATCCATCATGCTGCCCTTCATCTTGAGTTTTTATACCCCATCTCCTCTATATTGTAGGCTTTTCAAGCAGAGTCCTCTCAACCACTTTTTCTTGCCAACGTTTGTAATAGTTTGTCTTATTTGCTATTAAATCCCCCCCTATGATATTTTAAAGCACTGCAGAAAAATGTATCACTCTATAAATGTTGACAATAATACAAATAAAATAGTAAGTGATGGTTTTATAATAGTAAGTGAAGGTAAATAACTCTAGAATGAGGTACACTCATTTTAATTCCCAAATATTCCCCTCTGTTTAAGTATTTTAGTAGCACTTCCTAATGAAACCATGTCTCTCCTAGATTGTTTTATTGCTTTAGCTTTGTTGTTTCTTGTGTGCTCTTCAATCTTTTCCAAAAGATAAGTAAAACATTTCTATTTTATATTCCAATCTAGATAAAACATGTCATCCTTTAAAATAAAAAAACATTTTGGAGGGGTGGAGCGATGACGTAACGTGCGTAGCGTGCATCCTCGTGGAATACGGCTGAGGGGGCAATCGAGGGTGCTGACAAAGAACTGAGAACGGCTCGATCCACCTGTTGTGCTACTTGGGGGGCTTCACAGATCCCCACATAATGGTCAAATAGGACTAGATGCCGGGTTGAGAAGTAGAGAGCTACTCACCTTCTTGCCAGACAGAACTATGCACTATAGCTAGCTCCTCCACGAATAAAGACAGCAGGAGTAAACAGTAAGCTGCATTAAAGCAGATCCGGAGTATATCCCAAAAAGCTAAGTGCCTAATGATACTAAAATGCACATGAATAGCCTGTAGGGGAAAGTACAAATAACATAGTATAAATATTTGGTCATTTGAATACTGAAGGACCCTTGAGAAAGAAGGTAAAATATAGGACAATATAAGGAGCAGAATTCAGTGAACAATATATGATCTAAAGTTCAGTTAAGTTTGCTCACAGTGCTGAGCTGATTGCCTGACAGTCTAAGCAGGTCAGGTTAATATTCCTTGTGGTGTTTTTGTTTGCTTGTTGTTTATTTTGTTTATTTAAAAAAAAAACAAAAAAACCTTATTTATTTATTTAACCCCTTAAGGACGCTGGACGGAAATTTTCCGTCATTGCAGCACTCCCCTTAAGGACGCAGGACGGAAAATTTCCGTCCAAAATGAAAATTAACCCCTGATTGCCACAATCGCGGCAATTGTGGGGTTAATCTTCCTATAGTGTGTCTTCATATCGGAGGCACACCACCATGGGCAGTTTCACTGATTCAGCCCATGTGATCGCTTTGACCGGGAGTCAGAGCGATCACACGTGCTGCAGTGAAACCCGATCTGTTTCCCTGCAGCTCCGTGTGAGCTGTGAACTGCAGAGAGACAGATCGGTGCTGATCTGTCTCTCCCTGTAAAAAAAACCAGTTAGTTACAAAATCCCACCCCCCTCACCTCTTTAAAATAAAATGTAACCCCTTCCCTGCCCTTTGATCACTGCCTGCAATGATCAAAATACAGATCACAGTATTTCACTGTGATCTGATTTTTTTTTTTTAACCCCTGAGGGTTAACGTTTATTTTTTTTTAATCCTCAAGGGTTAAATGTAGTTAATTAATTAATTTAAATATTTTAAAATATTTATTTATTTAGCTAGGGTGGGTAGAAGTTAGTGGGGAAATTGGGGGATTTACGGTTAGGCTAGTTAGTGGTTAAAAGTAAAAAAAACAATTAAAAGTGAAAAAACTTTTTGAAGTCCAAATAAAGTTTTAAAATAGTAAAATAAGTTGTTAAAAGCTAAATAAAACTTTTTAAAAGTTAAAAAAAACTTTTAAAAAGTTAACAAAAATGTTTTAAAAAGGGGGGAAATGCGTATTACCTCTACACTTGGTACAGGCTAACGAAAAAAATGATACCATGCTAAGGTTTCAAATATGCCTTTTGAAACACCCTGGGGTGGAAATGGTATGCCTTTGTGAAGTAATTGGAAAACACAACCTATTAAAAAAATTCCAAAGTGGGGCATAGACACAGTGTAAAAATTCTAACTGTGTTAAATGTGCCCCTTCAACGTTGTCATATACCTGGTAAAGGTACATACGGGGGTATTGCTGTGCTCAGACGACATAGCTAAG